TTAAGTGAGAGAAAATCTGTAACTTAGTCCAGATTGGGAGAATTGTAATGTTTAATAATTTATTTTATTATGTAAATTATTTTTGCATTGAAATTTGCATAGATTTTTGTTTGTATATGCTGTCAATTATAGTTCTTAAAAAGAAAATCGGAATCGGCAAAAATCGTTATCGGCAGGTCACACTTCCAAAAAATCGGAATCGGCCAAGAAAAGTGCAATCGGTGCATCTCTACATATTACCGTTGCACTTATCTGTACATAGTAAATGTAAATGAAGTTAGTCTATCACATATCTAAAACGTGATTTAGCCAGAAAAACAACAACAACAATAACCAGTCAAATATGTCTTGCAATATCCGTGCGTGCAAAGGTTCTGTGCGATCTAGGGATGGGTCACGATTTTTGAATATTCGATTAGTTGATTTAATTATAGAATATCGAATAGGTTGTGCGATTATTGTCTTTAAAAAAATTCCCCATGTTTTCCGTGCTGATGTGGTGGTGACGCGTTCATGTGGCGCTGCCAATAATGCACCTAAAACCTGTCAAAGACAACAGAAGAACACATTGTCTCACGCGCACACTGTAGACTTGTGTGGCATAAAAAAAGACTTGCGTAGCATATAACGGTTACAGTAATTTGGGACAATGTCAAATAAGAGTTTTGTGCGGACCACAAACACCCCTGACTGGGTTAGAGGTGTGGCTGAATCCGTGTTCAGAAAGGCGCGGAAAACAAATAACGCATTCTACGGAGCCACTAAAGGGACATGGTTAGTCGCTTGCTAACGGTAGCTTGTTACATTACAGTACATAACATTTCACTTACCACATAAACAGAGTACGGAGAGATGACTGATAGGATGATGCCGAATGATTTGCAGATCCTGAGCACCACTGACAAACATCTAATCTTGTAAAATGTGTGGCAAGTACTGCCGAGTGCTGCTCTGTACGTGTGATCGCGAATCTCGAAAGTAAAAGTAAAAAAAACAAGCGCGCGTTCATAAGCAATTTCAATGCCCCGCATATTAATAACGGCTCCCTGATGCCCGCAGTTTATATACAGTATAATTACCCAACAATATAATTGCAACAGAAGATATTGAAGTATATTTTTCCTCCCATCTCATATCTATTCCCTTTGGGGTTCCATTTCTTATAATGGAAATGTCCTAGCCTTATGAGCAGTTGATTTACGCTAATCGACAGACTGTTACGTTAGTAAGTGCCATCATTCGGTTATGTTTATTATATTAATATGTTTCAGCACGTTACAATCATTATATGGCTTGGGTTAAGGTAGCCTATCTTCTGAATTAAACAGTTTATCATACAGATTGAAAGCGTGAATCCCGTCTCTCTCTCTGTTTATGGGTGTTTGTGCGTGCTTGCGGGGGAGGGGTGCGATTTTCGAATAATAGTTGAATAATACCCAGCGATTTTCGAATATTATTTTTGCTTGGAATGCCCATCCCTAGTGCGATCTTCGTTCAATATTCTCGGGGTCTGAATCCGGCTCAAATTGATATGGCAATTTTGACGCCATCCTTAACTATACCGGAGCAGACGGATCTTGCTGCTTTGGCAAGGGGCGTGGCAGTACTGAAACACTAAGCTGTTCGCCAATCACAACGCATTGGGACAGCTAACCAATCACAACACATTACGTTTTTCAGAAGGCGGGCCTTCATCAAACCCGGAACTAATCGAGCCGTTTGTGCCAGGCTGGGGAGAAAGGTATTGTAACAATGTAAATTATGTGAAAAATAATACACCAAGCATGAGAACATGTTCTAGTACACCTCCAAAACAAAATCAAGACTAGGGTTGGGCCGATAGACGATGCCATCATTTATCGCATTTCCCCAATACCGTGTTCGGAAAGAAAATGACGTGTATATCCCTAAAGAGAATAAATACGAGAAGGGAGGAAAATATATATTTCAATGCTTTCTCTCGCTGATATAATATTGGATAATTATACTGTATATAAATTGCTGGCGAGCAGGGAGCCGCTATTATGCCTGGTATTGAAACTGCTTTTGAATGCATGATTGCTTTTTAGTTTCACTTTCAAGATTCGCAATCGCACATACTCTGTTTATACTATGGAGCGGCAGTACTTACCACTAATTTACAAGATTAGATGTTTGTCTGTGGTGCTGAAAATCAGCAAATCATTCGCCATCATCCTCAGTCATCTCCCTCAGCCTACTGTAATGTAACAGGCAATCCTTAGGAATCGTTATTTGTTTTCCGTGCCTTTCTGAATATGGATTTACGCTTCAGGCACACCCCCTAACTACCCTAACTACAACTTCAGATGCATACATCAAATTTCAGCCAATGTAGCAGGTAATCCGGGCATTCCATGCGTACATAAAATTCACATACTATTCACAGTATTCACATGGCATACTGCAGTATAGTTGGAGTTGTATGATAGTATGCCATTCCGAACACAGCTTCTGTACTGATTTCAGTGTACTTGAGTTATGTTCTGGCAAATATAGTAGGTCATCCGGGTATTCCATGCATACAGAAAATGTGCATACTCTGCACAGCATACATATGGATACCGCAGAAGTAGTTAGAGTAGTATGGCATTTCTAACACAGCCTGTGTGTGTGTGTGTGTGTGTGTGTGTGTGTGTGTGTGTGTGTGTGTGGTTAAAAACCATATACTTTCCCATCACCAAGCCTCCTAACTCTTTGTGAATGAAACACCTGCTTAAGAACCCTCTGTGCACATAATGCCCCAAAGTGGTGACAGCCCAAAATACATCTACATTAACACATTGGCTCCTCCTACATATGTATTTCATTTTTAAAACGAAATTCATTTAGATTTACAATGACATGAGTGTGAGTAAATTATGCCAGAATTTATTGTTTTGTTTAACTAGAATATCATTAGGGTTGGGAATCGAAAATCGATTCCGATTCCAGAATCGGATACTTAAGGTCAGGAATCGGATACTTGTTGTCAAATTAAAATTTCGATTCCGCCTATCGATTCCTATGCGCTTTTTTTCTTCATCTTTGAGGACCGGACCTAGCGATCTGCCAGGACCTTGCTCGCTAATCTAAGTGCTCCAAAGTTTGGCTACATTTGCGATCAGAAGCCAAAAAAGCTAAGTATAATATCTGTGATAACTAAACATGTTCCAAGAGAGGTGTCACCACCAACATGACAAAGCACTTTAACAGAAGTACTGGGATAAAAGTTTATAGTTCAAATATAAACTCTGATGTGTAGAGTAGCGATTAAAATCACCTTTTGAAGTAAATCACCTTTTGAAAGTATAATTTGACGTTTCAAATGAAGATTTGTCGATTTCATTGTTACGCCAGTAGGTGGCAAAAAGGGGCTGTTAAAGGGGTCATATGATGCGATTTAAATTTTTCCTTTCTCTTTGGAGTGTTACAAGCTCTTGGTGCATAAAGAAGATCTGTAAAGTTGCAAAGACTAAAGTCTCAAATCCAAAGAGATATTCTTTATAAAAGTTATGAGTTAACCACTCCTACCTAAAACGGCTCGTTCTAACACGCCCCCACATGTCTACCTCACTATGTGGGAAGATTTACATAACGCCGCCCAAATGTTCACGCAAAGAAAGAAGGAGTAACTTTTATTCTCGATGTAGTTTTGTTGTTTCCGCCGCCATGTCATAAAGATGCTGTGTGCTTCGTTGTGAAAGCGAAACTACTTTGTTTGGCCTTCCAAAAGAGGACGATATCCGCTTCGTCATGCCTAGAGCTGATCCGTCCTGGTCGCTGAGGAAATACATCAACTGCACGCTGTGGATCGCCGGATCGGCTTTCACCGAGGACGAAGCGGAGTCCAGCCCGGGGTCATCACATGTGGTTATCACAGTTCGGAATTGTGAATTCAGGAATTCGGCCAATCACAATGCACTTGATAGCTGGCCAATCAGAGCACACCTCGCTTTTTCAGACCGATGAGCTTTGTAAAAATCGACGCGTTTCAGAAAGGCGGGGCATAGAGGAGAAACAATAATGTACAGTATGTGGAAAATAATGGGTTTTTTGAACTTTAAACCGCATAAACACATTTCATTACACCAAATACACAAAATAATGTTCTTTTTAGCAACATCATATGACCCCTTAAAAAAAATAAATCTGTTTTTGCTTTTTCCCCAATGTTTTATTAACTTAATCATCTTTTATAACAGCAGATTTGATTCTAAAAGATTTTTTGGATAGTCACAAATCCAAAATGCAGAAGAAAGCAGAACGTATTTTTGAGTGCAAAGAAGAAGCGCATCTCAAGGCTGTTTACACAGAGCTCTTCATCACAGAGGGAGATATGAAAGATGTCAATCAGGAACATGAGATTCTGAAGATTGATGATGCTTTCAACAAGAACAAACAAACACAGGACAAACCAATCAAGTGCAATGATATATTTACACTATTAAGGAAAAACAATGAGGAAAAGATTGTGCTGACCAAGGGAGTTGCTGGCATTGGAAAAACTGTCTCTGTGCACAAGTTTATCCTGGATTGGGCAGAAGGAGAAGCCAATCAGAATATACACTGTGTGTTCCTGCTTCCATTCCGAGATATAAACCCAATGACAAAAAAAAAATTCAGTCTCCACGAGCTTCTGCTGGAATTTTATCCTAAAATGAAGGACCTGGAGAAAACAAAGTTATATGAGGAACGTAATCTAGCATTTATTTTTGATGGACTTGATGAGAGTCGCCTGCCTTTGAATTTTAAAAGTGAACCATTGAACACTGTTGAGAAAAGATCATCTGTAGATGTGCTGTTCACAAGTCTGGTCAAAGGGACTCTGCTTCCATCAGCTCTGGTCTGGGTGACCTCACGACCAGCAGCAGCCAATCAGATCCCTCCTGAACATGTGGGTTTGTTCACTGAGGTGCGAGGATTCACCGACCAACAGAAGGAGCAGTACTTCAGAAAGAGAATCAAAGATGAGACTCTGGCCTCCAGAATCGTCTCACACATCAAGAAGTCTCGTAGTCTCTACATCATGTGCCACATTCCTGTGTTCTGCTGGATCACAGCCACAGTACTTCAGGATATCCTCATCAAGAACAGTGAAGAGAGCATCAGCACAACACTCACTGAAATGTACATCCACTTCCTGCTGATACAGATGAACATGAAGAACCAGAAATATGATGTACAAAAAGAAAGAGAATGTACAGAGCACTTACAATTAAATAGAGAAATGATTTTGAAGTTAGCCAAGCTAGCGTTTGAACAGCTGAAGCAGGAAAACATTGTGTTCTATGAGAAAGATCTGAAAGCATGTGGTATTGATGTGAGTAAAGACACTGAGTTCACAGGAATGATCGCTGAGATCTTTAAGAAGGAAAAGGGACTTCATGAGAAGAAGGTCTTCTCCTTTGTGCATCTGAGTGTTCAAGAGTTTCTCGCTGCAGTGCATGTGTTCCTCTGTTACCTGAACAAGAACATGCGGGAGCTTCAGTTTTTCTTTAAAGATTCACAAAAAACAGCCAGACAAACGCTTCAGTTCCTCTTTAGAAATGTCAGATTTCATGACTTAATAAAGTGGGCCACTGATAAAGCCATGGAGAGTCAGAGAGGACATCTGGACCTGTTCCTGCGGTTTCTGATGGGAATTTCACTGGAATCCAGTCAAAGCCTGCTCCAAGGCCTGATCACACACACTGAAGACACCTCAGAGAGTGTCACAAAAATAAGTGCACACTTAAAACAAAGACAAAAAGAGGACATCTCAGATGAAGCTGCAGTCAACCTGTTTTACTGCTTACTTGAGCTCAAGGATCATTCATTATATGAGGAAATCCAGAGATACCTCAGTTCAGATGCACATCCAGGAAGAGAACTCTCATCTTCAATGTGTTCAGTGCTGACCTACATACTGCTGATGTCAGAGAAGGTGCTGGATGAGTTCAACCCAAAGAGATTCACGTCATCTTCAAACTACAAGAGACTCATTCCAGCTGTGAGATGCTGCAGAAAAGCCCTGTGAGTAATCTCACTGACTGTTGTTTGATCAAATATTTTATTCTACATCACTAAACAATTAAATGTCAAAATACTATGTAAAATATCTTGTTGTCCTGATTATAAAGGGTAAAATAAGTTTTTGCAGAAACACTAAAC